TGTCTAGCTGGGAGGGAAGGTGCAGAAGGGGGTGGGAGTGGGGAGTCTGGGGTGGGGGAGGGTGCAGCAGTGGGCTGGGGGTGCAGGGTCTCCGCAGGAGAGGGATGGGGCACGCTTACCCGGCTCCTGTCCTCCAGCCGCTCATAGGCCCTGCCCCCCGCTACTCCCATTGGCTGGGATTCAGGCAAGCAGCTTCCTGCACTGCTGTTCCTCCAGCTGGGGGAAATAATAGCCAGTGCACGGAGCTGCTTTCTCCACAACGAGCCGGATCCGGCCCATGAGGCTCTGGGCTCCCACACAGAAGGAAGCCAGTGCTGGCGCTCCAGCCTTGTGAGGTGAAAAGTCCCATGCTCATGGCCTACCTGCAGGACAGTTGGGGACCACTAGTGATCCATGGACCACACTCCTCATGCTCTAGGGAGATAGGAAAAAGGAGGCAAGCAATTCAGATGCATTCCCTAAAGACAATGCCTCCTTCCACAAGCACAGGGTAAGGACTTCTCTTAGAGACCTTGTCCAGTCCTCACAAAGGAGGCAGGGTTCTCTCTCCACCCACACTGGGCAGTTGAGAAAGAAGGGAGGGCCCATTACAATTAAAGAGTTGTCGCACCACATCCTTGCTTGCTGAAGAAGCCCATGCAGCGAGGTAGCTAATGTCAATCCCACACACGGTTTGTTGGCTTATGTTCCACTTGAAATGAAATGTTTTATGCCCCTACATTTTCCTAACTCCTAATAAAGCCTTTGGAATTCACTGCATTAAATCAGATACTAAATTAAGCTGGCGGCTCCATTGTCCTTAATGTTAATATACTCATAGGAGAAAGTACCTAGTAATTTAGAAATAAAATGCATGGTGGTAGGATTTCTAAAACCACTTTACCTTTTGACCACCTGGTTTTCTTCATAGTGCACTCAATAGTTGCTCAAGCTGAGAGAGGCTGAGCTAAAAAGTTAAGGGCCATCAACGGATGTATAATACATAAAAGGTGCTGATGATATATAATGTAATATTATAGAATAGGTATTACTGGTTTATTAAGAGTCTGGTTCAAAGCCCATTTAAGGCAAGGAGAATCTTTCCACTCCCTTAGGTTTTGCATGAGGCCCTAAAAGTCTAGATGTGCTTAAGATAATGTATCTATTATGAATGGGATATTCAGTGTAAAATGCACTTGGAAAATTCCCCTCCCTGCTGCACCAATGAATCAGGTCTGTCAGTAAGCGTTTTGCATAATACCTCCAATCTGGCAAGCTAACCATATTAATCAAGGTGTCACTACTGCATTGGTATAAGGTACAACTCATTCCTCCTGAACAGGAGATTCAGGGTGATGCTGCGTTAAGTCCCTGGGCTCTCTCTTTAGCCAATACATACCTTGTGATTCAGCTGTTGTTTCTAAAGCTGGGAAAAGAACCTAAACAGGGAAGACTTAATCAGTTGAAGTCAGGATAATCCATAAATACACGTACTTAATGAGAGGCTTTTTTTTTTGTTGGCTTCCTATATTCTTGTTTCTTTTCCCCTGACATGTGTGAGTAGTAGTCAAGAATGTGCCCTGCATTTCAGTGGTTTTGTCATGTGCTTTATTTTTCATTATAACTTTTATACTTAGACTTATTTGTTCAGAATTACAGCTACACTTGATTTTTGTTTTGAAGTATGTATTGGGCTAAATCCATCTCTGATGCAACTCCATTGGCTTGAATGGGCAATGGATTACGCTCTGCAGACTTAAGTCTACAAAGAGTTTTTGCCCTGTGTGGCGCCCATAAAGTCATGCTTGGTTTTGGTCCAAGTCACAGCAGCCTGTAACACTATTCTGATAAGGTAAGCAGGGTTTTGTGCTACCCGCAATTATGCTGTGCAATAAATACACCCTAAATTCATTGAGTTATAAGATCAAGAACACATATTCCTGCGCATCCAGAAATATAATCTATGCTATCATGTGCCGAAAGTGTCCGTCTGCTATGTACATTGGACAAACATCTCAGACACTTCGCCAAAGGATTAATGCCCACAAAACAGATATCAGACAAGATCACAAAGAAAAAACAGTTTCTTGCCATTTTAACCAGAAAGGACACTCTCTCAATGACTTGACCACCTGCATTCTGCTACAAAGACCTTTTACATCTGCACTTGAAAGGGAATCCTCTGAACTGTCATTCATGTTAAAATTCGACACTTGCCAACAAGGACTTAACAAGAATTTGAACTTTCTCACCCATTACCAAGACAGTTTCCCCAATTATCACCTGTAATACCATTAACTCACAAACATCCCACTCTCCCTACCTTTAATATCATCAATTCACAGACACTTACCTTCCTTCTTCCCCCTCCCCCCCCCCCGCATCCCCCTTCTGTTCTGCAATGTGATTTGTCCTTTTCATATTTGTTCATTTTTTTAATTGTATCCTTTGGTATATATGGTTGTGACTACTTTCTTCCACTATTTGATCTGAGGAAGTGGGTCTGGCCCACGAAAGCTCATCATGTAATAAACCATCTTGTTAGTCTTTAAAGTGCTACATTGTCCTGCATTTTGCCTAAATTCATGTATTATGTGGAGGCTAATGGGTGCTGTCATCCCCTCACCAACTTTCTACCCAACAATGCAGTTCAGGTGCACTTGTGTACATCCAGTACACAGCTCTAATGAAACTAATGAAATTCTATGCTGGAAAAAGATGTCCTCCTGGAGAGTGTGAGAGGGAAATTCAACCTTGATGCTGGGGAGGAGGGGCAGGGGAGCTAGCCAAAGGAGGCTTTCAATGCATGTTTCCATCTCTAGCATGTCCACCTGATTAGATGCTGATTAGATGCTGTCCCTGAGTTAAGGGAAATAGCCTCTTTTTTTGCTACCAACTATACCATGTCCGATGAGAAGGGCAAATGAGCGTATCTCCTCTCTTCTCCATTTGGTGTCAGTCAATCATGCTGTCAGGTTTAGACTTCACATTTTCTTTTCAACATCCATCCCAAATCTGAACAAGTCCTATGCCAGCTATTAGAACAGTGGTTCTCAACTCGGTTCACTCCACGGATCACGGGGCCAATCAAAAAAATTTCATGGACCACCTCCTTTTTGAGACATGATAAAAAAGAGCAGACAATGAACATTTTGGTTTGAAATGTATTTCCTACTAACAGATTGTTGGTGCCTGCTCACGCCATGTGATTTTGAACAAAGTTCCTGTGGACCACCGAAAAAGTCACCATGGACCACCAGTGGTCCAGGGACCACCAGTTGAGAACCACAGTATTAGAATGATACATACTTGGTCATTTTTGGTACCAGAGTTTTCATCTCTGCCACTTTCCTGCATTTATTCACCTCTTTTCAAGCCTCTCCCCAAACTACTTTTTCATTCTTGCTTGTCCTGCCTAATGACTCTCCTCCTTGGTCTTGCCTGTGATTAGATCTCTGCAAAATGCCTGCTAAACAAGTAACATTTGATAGGTTTCTCCTCCCTCTCCCCCCCATTAGAAACGTGAAGCTTAGTCAAAGTTCACGAAAACGCTGGTGCTTGTAAAGGATTTGGGAAGGGACTACCTCTTCGTGCTGTGTTTGCACAGCATCTCACACAAAGGGGTTCTGAGGCCAGGAAGGGCCGACCACCGTACAAGTTTGGGCTGGTGCATGGCTACGTCTCAAAAATCGGGTGGTGATCATGCCAGCTGACAATTTGGTTCAGATGTTTTGGATTCATCCCAACTCAGCGTGCAAGCCCCAGGCAATCAACCCTCAGGAGAAAGATGTCAGGAACCTTTGTCCCCAGCACCATCCACTTTTCAGAAGCTCTGCTCTTCTCCTCCGCCAGCCCGGGGTGCCCTCAGCTCTGACACATGGCTTGGCACAGGGCGGTTGTGAAAGGCCCAGGGGACGCATGGACTAGCCGGACAGGCTGGCGGGGAAGGGGGCATGTGTTTCCAATGTTGTAACCCTCAGGAGAAAGATGTCAGGAACCTTTGTCCCCAGCACCATCCACTTTTCAGAAGCTCTGCTCTTCTCCTCCGCCAGCCCGGGGTGCCCTCAGCTCTGACACATGGCTTGGCACAGGGCGGTTGTGAAAGGCCCAGGGGACGCATGGACTAGCCGGACAGGCTGGCGGGGAAGGGGGCATGTGTTTCCAATGTTGTTCCTGTTGATCTTTGAGGCCAGCTCAACACACAGGGCCGCTCGCTGCCAGTCCCGCACCCCGATCTCCCTGGCCCCGGGGAGCTGGTGGCCGCGGG